AAGAAGATGTGGGGTTTTTTTATACAATGGAGTACTACTGTGCCATAAAGAAGGATGAGCTTCAGACATTTATAGCTAAATGGATGGACCTTGAGATCATACTCTTAAGTGAAATAAATCAGATACAAATGTTTAAATACTGCATTGTTTCCCTGGTATGAGAAATTGAATGTGGAAATAAGGACTGAGATGTATAATGGATGTTGGGAAATGGGAAGAAAGTGTTCAGATGGGAAGGGGAACAAGGGAGGAGGGAGAGAGAAAGGAAGAAAGGGACAAGAAAAAAGTGAAAATAGAAGAAAAAATGGAAACAAAGCTCTGTACTTAGGGAGAGGAGGGGGCTTGAGGGAGGAATGGGATAAAATAAAATAAAAATTAATAAAGAATGTAAAAACTGGATCTAAGGTTTATAAACATTAGTAAATGCATAAAATCTAATAAAATCTTTAAAATATAAAAGAAAAAGAAAAAATAGCTTTTTTTTTTTTTTGGATAGGATCTCAGTGTGTAGCCTGTCTGGCCTCAAATTCATGGCAGTCCTCCTGGCTCAGCCTTCTGAATGCTGGGATTGCAGGCATGTGCCACCATGTGCTTTGTTTTTAAGGCAGTTGTATACCTTGTTTCTAATTCTATCTAAAGCTTTATTTATTTACACATAGGAAAACTTATTATTATAGAGGAAGTTTATGGAATTTGGTGATTTAAAATCTGCTAATAGCCCATGAAATGACTTTTAGTTCAATATATTGAATTCTATTTAATAGCTAAGAATTTTCATAGCTTTTGAACATGTGTTATCTTTGACTACTTTTTGAATGAGAACATTTTCTCAAATTTTTATCCCAAAGAATCTAATTGTATTTTGCATTCAGTCCTCTCAAAACTCTATTTAGTCTTCTGTGCTGTTGATTAGTTAGCATCCTTTGGGGCTGGGGATTTAGGTCAGTAGTTCTGGCACCTGCCTCACAAGTGCAAGGTCCCGAGTTCGATCCCCTGTACCCCCCCCCCCCCCAATCCTGCCTCTAGTTAGCATCCTTTGTGAATTGTTTGTATGAGTAATTTTTCTTTTGGTACCAGGGATAGAACTCGGGACCTTGCGTTTGCGAGGCAGGCGCCAGAATCACTGAGCTAAATCCCCGGCCCTGTATGAGTCATATTTTGTAATAATCAGATGAGTGCTTTATGATGAGTGCTTGTATGAGTAATAGTTTATAATAATCAGATGAGCACTTTATGAGACAAATTACTGTGATTTTTATAAAAGATAAACATATACTTTCATGGTGTTTTGTTGCATAAAAATTATTAAAGAAAAATGGAAAATTTTCAGAAATCTAGGCTTTTAACTCTATCTGATATTCTTAGACTATTTATCTGAAAAACAACTCAATTGGATCCAAAGGTTTCATTCTTCATGTACTCTTTATTCAGCATAAATCATGGTAAAGATAACATTTGGCATTTGAGTAGCACTGAGCCACTCACCCCGCTGGGTCATTTGCTCGGTACAGGTACAGGCTTTCAGGGACGTGTTTAATGAGCAGCCCCACCCAAGTGTGGAGAGGCTGGGCTGCCTTCCCCAGGCTAACACCTCTAGTGAGTGGTGGGGCCTCCCCACCGGTATTCTTTTCACTCTTCTGAAAATATGTTGATCGGTGAGATATATGGATTTATATTATGGGTATGGATGTCTAAGTATAAGCAATGTATGTACATTCATGTATTTTTGCTGTTAAGACTTATCATTTGCATGCCTGTAATCCTAGCACTCTGGGAGGCTGAGGCAGGAGGATTGGAAATTAAAGCTCAGCCTGGACAATTTACCGGCTTAGTGAGGCCCTGTCTCAAAGTAAATAAAAAAGGGCTGGGGATGTAACTTAGTGTGAAGGCCCTAGTATCCCTGCTCCAAAAAAAGGCATCATAATTTTGGTTTACTGTCCTCCTAGGTACTTATAATAACTTTCTCTTTGCTTTGTTTTTCTCTAGCTTCTTAGCAAAACTGGCCAAGTCAATACAATGAGTTAAAAAGGAAATTCGGTGGTAAACAATAAACTTCTTAGTGATGTGTGTTGTGTGCATGCCTCCCACAGAACATTCCCCCTTTCATTATTTGGTGCTTGGGAGGCTGAGGTGGGAGGATCCCTATGCTTCTGTCCGAGTCCCAGTGAGGCCAGCCTCGGCTGTCTCAAAAAACAAATAAATACGCCCCCACCCCCCAACAACAGCAATATCCCAAAGCTTCTTCTCTTCCATAAAGATAAGGAAACAAATATAAAATTGTGAATTTATGATTATTCAGTGAGAGATAGCTGAAAAAGTCTGCATACTTTCCAGATTTGTTTATTGTAATTATAAGCTGCTCAATTAGTATTTATTAAATGTCTGCTCTGGGAATGCTGATTTGTTACTTCATAATGTATGACTACCTTGCAACCCCTAACATACTCAAATGTTGAACTATTGTGATTTTTTCCTTCAACTTTTTAAGTGATAAAGCAGTACTTTCAATTCTAAGGACTTGGCACATCCTAAATGTCAAAGAAGGAGAGCATGAAACATTTGCTTTTAAATTGAGAATTCTTGTTTTTTGGAAAGCGTTTTGCCCCTGTGTGCAGTTAGTGAAATAAAATATTTGTGCTTGGCTGACTTGTGTACACCAAATGTCACAGCTCAGACCTCTCTTTGGTTAGAGGCCTAAGGGCTCAGTTTTTTTGCTGTTAAGTAGCAGTTAATCTCCAGAGAACTGCAGAAAATGTGCTTGATAATTACTAGATGGAATTTATGTTGTCCTGTGGGTAACAGATTGAACCTGAAAGGCTCAAAGGTAGTGAGCTAATGTCAGGATCCTACCTGTAGCTCACTGGTCTTCATTTCTGGCTTACGTCATGTTGGCTTTGCTGTGCACAGATGTCCCTCTTGAGATTGAGGCTGGTTCCTCTTGTAGAGGGACCTGAAGGTTGGCTTTGCCAGGAGCCTTCCCACGGAACTGACCCCAGGCAGGCACTGTGTGTCTCCATGGGCCACCTGCCTGTCACTGTGCATATTTCACCTGGTGGCCTTCCACTACTTTCCTCCAGAAGAACCTGTCCAGATCTGGGGTTCAGGGTACATGCTTTTGCTCCTTCCATGAGATAGTGGTTCATAGCAGCATCATTTTGTGTCACTTGACGTCTTTCACAGTAGTGCATAAGCTGTCACTATTCATTTCCACACAACCCTCTTCCCATCTCATAGATGCTAAAAAATCATAGGCCCAGGCCTATGATAGCCTTCAGTGGTCCCCAGGCAGGAGCATGCTGCGTCCAAGAGAATAGACAAAGGCTGTGTGCTTGGAGCAGAGGAGATGCAGGGACTTCGAGCTTCTGGAAGCCCATGGAGGGCTTTCCTTCTTGTTTTGGTTGTTCATGTCAGAGTTGCTCGTAAAAATGCTCCTGAGGATGATTTTGTGTGTTTGTGCAGGGGGATGGGGAGGTCTTCAGAGAGGATGGTTGTTTGGTAGAGAGCCCTCAAGCCCATGTTGGGTGGGAGGTAAGAACACAGAGGTAGCACTGAGGTTTTGAAATCCTTGTTCTAGGAAGAAAAGAGATCACTGGATCCGTTTTCCGCTCCTTTTGCTCTCCAGGCCTCTCTGGTCTCATGTTCACTGTCACCACTCAGAGCAGCCTCGACCCTGGGGCTGTCTGTTTCTGTGGGTGTCAGTGAGGTTGTCCTCTTTGGCTCCTGCTTCCTCAGGATCTCAAACTCACCCTCAGACTCGCTAGGTCGGAAACCCACCTTGACTGTTGGTGTGGCTACTTCTGACCCCTCCCATTTTATTCCTCCCCTCCAGGTATCCAGACTTTTCCGCCATCTAAATCCGATCTAACCTCCTGATTTAACTTCATTATTCACTCTCATTTATTTTGTTTCCCCCCTCTTCTCCCTGTCACTCCCCGAGCATCTTTTGATGAGGTGCTATCTACTTTGAGTGATTCAGTTAAGACTTGGGCATGGTGGTGTACACCTGCAGTCCTAGCTACTCAAGAGGATGAGACAGGAGAATTGCAATTTGGAGCCCAGCGTAGGCAATGTACTGAGACGAAACCCTGTCTTAAAATAAGAAGGGTTGGGTGTAGCCTATGTTGTGAACTATACAGGACTGCAGACACACAAACATGATAAATAATGCATTAAGAGTATGAACTGATCTGCTATGAATTCCATTTTCTTCCTAGTCTGTTAAATATTTGGTTTCCATTTAGTTGGTTTAAATGCAATGTGAACGCCTAACATACTTTCTAACCCTAAGAAAATAAGCACACTAACAGAAAGCCAAATATTTTCATGGCTACAGTGGAGGTTAAATAGAAATTACTGACCAGGGGAGAAAGGGAAAGAACAGAGCCCAGGAGGAACACGTACATTGAACTGAAACCTCCCCAAACTCTAGAGCAAGCAGTGTGTAGTGTGGGGAATACACAGCAGAAGATGTGGAACCAAAGCTGACAGGAGTGAAGCCCTCACTGTCGCTGGGCAGCACTGTGTGTGGGAGCGGCCCGGGCCAAAGGGAGCTGAGCAGGCGCTATAGCTCAAGCAAATAACTTACCCTACCCAGCCCTCCACTTCCCACAGGGAAGCACTGACCGTCTGTGGAGGCTTCTGAGGGTTCAGGGATGCTGCACATACAGTGCTTGGTGCGCACAGATGCCTTTTCCTCCTCTCCACTCCTGCTAGCTGCCCGCATCTCCATCTTCATGCTGTCTTGGAACCGGGGAGCACTGTATTCAGGTCAAGCTGAGGAGTTTGGAAGGTTTGACTGGTATGGGAATAGGTAGGGCAGACATCTTTTCTAATTAGGACGCAGTATGTAGACTCAGACTGTATTTTACGGGAAGGAAGTATGGGCTAATAGAGATGTAGTGTTTTTATAAAGTTAGGGGAAATCTTTATTGGCCAAGAAATATTACATGATACGTCTGAATGCTTTTATGTTGAATTCACCCCTACCCTTTTTTTTTCAGTTCTTCACCAATGGACATGGATGAAAATGAAAGTAATGAGTCAGGGATGACAAGCGGCCAGTGCCCTGATGATGCGGTACAAAAAGGACAAAATTCAGCACAGGATTCTGGTGAAAGTGATTCTTCTAAGTTGTCCAAGAAAAGCTTCAAGCTGGATTACAGACTAGAGGAAGATGTAACTAAATCAAAGAAGGGCAAAGATGGGAGGTTTGTTAACCCGTGGCCCACATGGAGGAATCTGTCCTTTTCCAACGCTCTCAAGTGGCTGATCACGGAGAAGAATCACAGCAGCGTCCCGAGCTGCAAAGAGGTAACCCCTTGACCGTGCGGGCATTCTGTGTAGTATGTGGTCCTGAATACTCAGGACTTGGCTCCGCTTGGAGTTGCGTTAGACACTGAAGTGGGTTACCTGAACCCTTTCTGTGAGGAGGTGCTGTGTAGGTTATGGGGAGACACAGTGTGAATGGTGGCACCTGTGCCCTCAGGTTCTGGCTGCAGCAGTGCAGTACACATCTGAGTGATCTGCTCTGATGTGCTGGAAACCAGAGGTGGGGACAGTGTGTTTTCGAGGTACGGGGAAGGAAGTAATTAATTCTGACTGGCAGTGCTGGGTAGAGTTTCTCCAAAGAGGTGGTGTTCGCACTGGGCTAAGTATTTTGATGGTTTCCCAGAGGGTGATGGCATGAACAAGGTCATGAAGGTGACAGAGTGCCTGGCATGTCCCAGAAAGTAGTGACCTGATGCACGCTTGGAATATGTGTTGTGAGGGGTACAGCATGGCCCAGGTGCGGCTTTTAATCCTCAGGGAAAGCTGCCAAAGCTCTGAAAGAAATCTTCAAATGATCTTTCCAGACCTTGAAAACTTAAGTCGAGGTTACTGGCCTTTAAATGCTCTAGCTCTACTTAGGATGAAATTTATTAAGATTTGGCATAGAGAGTATTAGATAACGACCTCAACTTTGGCAAGGGCAGGTGAGTACGGTAGCATCTCCTCCTCCTCATGCTCTCTCTGAGCCTCCCACCATCTTCTGTGGGCTCTTCTCCCTGCCAGCCCCTGCCCTGCCAGGCTTTGGGGAAGGTGAGAGATAGGGAACCAGGCTTTGTGAGCCGAGGCTCAGGGTGAAGGGGGAAGAGGCAGGGTGGGTGTGGGGTTGTGGGTGTTAGTGTCAGCTCCCTTGGTGAATGTGCTTATTTTTCTTGCAAGGAGACGGTGTTAAAAGCCTCATATCACTTTGATGCTAGGAATATTCATAGTATTGCTTCGTTGCTGCGGGCTTGAACCCCCGGGGTACATGCATGACTGTCCTATGGGGCAGTCCCTACCACCAGTGGTACAAACGGATCTAATCACTTTCATTGGTCTTTTTACTAATAAAATTAATAAAAAGTCTATAAATGGACTGAATCTAGTTAGTTGCTTGAATTTCAAAGATTACTGCCCAGTAATAAATATTAATACTATTCATACCAATTAAAATATTATAATAATCAACAAATTAATTTCATTGAATTAAAACAAATTTACTTATATTTGTGAATAGTTTATTAAATTATTGTGAATAGTTAATTAAAACTCTAAAAAAACCCTCTAAATTTTAACGTGGAACTCTTACAAGTACCCCATTGCTGGTGTGTGTAATATGCATTTACAGCTTCTGTGCCACACATTAGTTTGTTAATGTGCCATTACAATTAGTTTATGCCATTTTAATGTTTTCCTTAAGGAATATAATATGATGACATCTGGTCTGCTAAATCAATGCCTTTCTTGCATTATTGTAATCGAAGACCCCCTGAGAAGCGGTATAATCTGATGAGACAGGTATGCATGTATCACTGGAAATGATCTAATTCAAATTGGAGCTGCCTGGCAGCGAGACACATGAATTACAGCCCTACCGTGAATGTGTTAATCCCAGTTATTGAACTGATTAATGTGATAGCTATATCTACTTATATGTGTTTTTTTCTTTGCAGTGCTGGGGAACAAACCCCGAGCCTTGCACATGCTAGGCAAGCTCTCTACCACTGATCTGCACCCCTAGTCCAATAATATGTATTTGTAAGCATCTTAGGCAGCACATTGTTAGATGAAACTTTATGTTTTCAGCTTTGAGCGAAGGACACAGGAATAAGAACGCTTCTGTTTTTTCCTTCTGCTGAACCTCTTATGAAGACAAACATGGTTATGATGAGGCATTAGGGCAGAAGGCCAGGGTGGGTAGGCTGTGTAGGTGGGTAAATTTCTTCCTGGAGTTTGAGCCACAGCTTCTAAATGTACACAGGTTATTAATGGTATCTTTAGTTTTGTTTCATTTTGAAGAGTGACTATGTGAGGGCAGAAGTATATCTGTCCATTCTAGTGGTTTGAGAGGTAGTGGAGAAACCGAGTTGAATCTCTGAGGACTCACCAAGCCAAGGTTCTGAAGCTCTTTTGGATACTGAGCCCTTTTGATCACATGTCCATTTCTATGAGAATGTCCACTCACTGCCTGCTGCCTCCCTCTCTCCCTTTTTTCTGTCCTTCCTTTTTCTTTCTTCCTCTTCCTTCTCCCTCTCCTTTCCTCCTTCCATCTCTCCCTTTCTTCTTCCCTCCTGTCTTTGTGGTACTGGAAATTGAATCCAGGGCTTTTGCACTGAGCTATCTCCATAGCAGCCTCTTTTAAAATTTTGAGATAGGATTTTACTAAATCACTAAGTTGTCTGAGCTGGGGCTTGAACTTGTGATCCTCCTGCCTCAGCCACCAGGGTGCTGGATTTACAGGTGGGCACTACTGTGCCTGGTTTATGCTAGTTAATCTTGATTGTCACCTTGGTTATATTAAGAGACTCCTGGAGAGGTGACTGGATTGTGAGGCACAGACCTCATCAATGGGTTAATGAGTTCAAGGCTAAATGGGCTGTTGGGAGGTAGGTTCTAGGTGGAGGAAGTGAGTCATGTGAATGTGATTTAGGGAACTATATCTGGTCCCTGGCTTCTTCCTCTCTGGCTCTCCAACTTGCCCTGCTTCCTGGCACCTGAGTTGAGCAGCTTTCTTCTACCAGGCCCTTCCATCATGATGTCTCTGCTTTGGAGCCCACTAACCATGGACTGAAACCTCTGGAACTGTGAGCCAAAATAAACCTGTCCTCTGTTAAGTTGTTGGTATCAGGGATTTTGTGCCAACAATGGGAAGGATGACCAGTACACTACCTTTTGTTATACTTCATGGATTTTATTGATCTTCTTAAGCCTGACCGTTCATTCATTCATTTATTTAGCTAGTATTTACTGAGCACTTCCTGTGTGCTGAGCATACTGTATTACATGCTAGAGCCACAGACATAGGGCTTCCTGGATCTTTGCTATAGTGGAACACAGAAATAATAAACAAAATAAACGAGTAAGTTATGTGATATATTAAAACATGTTAGGTGCCAGGGATTTAGCTCAGTGGCACCATGCCTGCCTCACAAGTGCAAGGTCCTGAGTTCGATCCCTGGTACCGAAAAAAAAAATGTTAGGTGCAATGAAGAAGAATAAAGCAGATAAGGAAGCAGAAGTGGGGCTGTCTTCTATAATGATATGTAAGCTGCTTTTCTTTTTTTTTTTTTTAAAGGCAAGAAACTGTTTAAAAAATGCAAAGGGAGAACCCATAGCTCCAAACATACCACTTAAAAACAAATTTGGCATCATATAAAAGACATAAAAGAGGGGCTGGGGATTTAGCTTGTGGTTCTGCTGCCTGCCTCCCAAGCAGAAGGACTCAAGCTCGATCCCGGTACCCCCCCCAAAAAAGACAGAAAAGACACCTTCATACTATTTCAATTCATATTTTATTTCTGATCTCTTATCTATGTTTTGTTTCCTCGTTTTTAACGAAAGCCTAGAACTATATCAAAAGTGTGTTAACCTCTCTTATTTTAGGGATAACTGCAACTCTGTGTTTAAGCCCTCTAAATAAATTGCAGACACGATTAACATTTACTAATTCCCAAGTGTGATAGGGTTCTACACTTCCCAAAACAAAAACCAAAAACCACATTAGGATGAACACCTGCTTCATATTGTTGACTCAACTCAGAACTTAATCCAGATTTTGGATGTTGTTTTTGTTAGACACTGGGAGGCTAGTGTTTAATAACTAAGCCACAACTTCAAACTGTTTGAAAAGAGAACAGTATGATTATATATAAGGCAATTATATATTATGCTGTTTATATCATGGTATATTTAGGTATGTAAATATGCAAGTGTTTTGGAAGAAACATAATTGATTATAGATTAATCGATGGATCTAAATAAAGCAAAAGTATATCATAAGCAGGCGACACAGTTTAGTTGCCTGGTCAGAAAACAGTGGGCCACTCCCGACATTTGTCTCCTCTAGGTCACAGGCTGCACATTGTTCCTGTGGTGCCATTGCTTTGGGCTGTTGTGCTTGGCTGGTCTTGTCTATTGGTTGTGGTCGGTCAGTCCCTGATAGTCTAGGGAAAGAGACAACTGGAGAATTTCAGAATGGGTGGAAGGCAGGCACTTCCTGGGTTTCGTTCTTGGGAGGTGGCTGTCGTAGCGGTTCCTACACACAGGTACACACAGGCAGGCAGGCTGCCATGTGGCCAGCCGGGAGGAGTGGGGCACCAGGGCTCCGAAACCTGGTTAAGGGTTAGAGTTCTTCGCTGACTGTGTGACCTTATTTTTATCACAGTCCCTCAAGGACTCTGCTAAAGTTTGGATCTTAAATATCCCTCGAAGCTCCATGGTGGTGGTGGGGGAGACCTTCAGGAGGGGGGCCTCTAGAAGGTCTTCTGCTCACTAGGGGAGCCCTCAGAGGGAGTGTGGCCCCACTGCCCTGCTCTTCTTCACTTCCCAGCCATGGGGTGAGGGCCTTGTCTTCCACACACTCCCTGCCGTGCTGTGCCCCTGATCACAGGCAGTGGGGTCCTGCGGTCATGGATGGAAGCCCCCAACTGTGAGCCAAAAGAAACCTTTTCTCTTTATAAGTTGATTTCTCTCAGATATTATAGTAATGGAAAGCTGAGTAACACAAACTTCATCTCTTTTTTGTTCTTCATAAAGTGAGGATAGTCTAGTTTGAGTCACTAGGATTGTTTTGAGGTTCACATTACACATGAAAATACTTTGAAAATGTAATGCATTCTTAGATGTATAATATTAAAAAATAGGTTGTACTTTGAAAAAAGTGAAACATCAGTTTATACTATAGTGTACTACTATAGGTTGCTTTTTTTTTTTTTTTGGTACCAGGGATCGAACTTGGGTCTGAGTTTGTGCAGCAGGCGGCGAAACCGCTGAGCTAAATCCCCGGCCCTGTAGGTTGCTTTTTAATGTTCAGCAAGAAAAAAAATACATGTAGGTAGTTTTAAAAAAGACAGTGTGGAAAGGGTTGTAAGGACAATTTATTCTTCTAAATGGCCCCTGCTACCCAGTTTCCTTCTCCAGAGGGAGTGACTTGCGGCACTTTGAGTTGCTGCCTCTGGAATTTGTCTTCATATTTGTAAGGAAAACCAAAGTCTGTCATTCCGGGGGGATTAGTCACTGACTTCTAATCTGGATTACCAGATTTAACTGGCCTCTGCAACATTCCTGCCTCTATATGACCTTTCCTCCTATTCTGTGCCACAATACATGTATTTCTTTTCTTTTTTTTTTGGTACCAGGGACTGAACCTGGGTCCTCAGCTTGCAGTGCAGGCAGTGGAACCACTGAGCTAAATCCCCAGCCCCAACATGTATTTTTTTTAAGAGAGGGGGACTTGCTGTGTTGCCCAGGCTGTCCTTCTCGAACTCGTTAACTCATAGGCTTAGGTGATCCTCATGCCTCAGCCTCCTGACTAGCTGGGGCTACAGATGTGCACCACCATGCCTGGCTTTTGTATTTTTTTTTTTATTAACAGATAATACTTATACATCTTTATGGGGTACAACATGATGTTTCAGTACCTTTCTACATTGTGTATTGATCAACTGGGGATATTTAGGTTGTCTGTCCTGTACACATTCATCATTTCTTTGTGATGAGAGCATTCAGAATCCTCTCCTCTAGCTGTTTTGTTTTATTTTATTTTATTTCGGTACCAGGGATCAAACTCGGGACCTTGCGCTTACCAGGCAGGCAAGGCGCCACTGGTTACATCCCTGGCCCTCCTCTAGCTATTTTGAATTAATTATACGATACAATATTGTTAACCATAATCACTTTCCTAATTTCACTGTTAACATTATTATGGCTACATCAGTATTTTTCATTGGTGAACCAAGTAAGGTACACTATGGCTGTCTCCTTTATTTACATGCTTTTTTCCTCCTGATGTTAGTAACTCCTCGTTTTTAACTTAGTTTCTAGGTACTTTTATCTCCCTGCCTCCTGGGACTTCCCAGGGCATCCATGTGGTCTTCCAGCACTGGGGTGGAGGCCCCAGCTTCTGATCTGGGGTCTGCACTGTTGTCCCGGGCCCCCCTTCCTCTTCCATTTTGGCCTGTGATTTCCCACTTGTATTTTCTAATCTTGGAGGAGCACCTTTTTTTTTTTTTTTTGTGGTACTAGGAATCGAACTCAGGACCTTGCGCTTGTGAGGCAGGCGTGGTGCCACTGAGCTAAATCCCGGCCCCTTGGGGGACTTTTTACACTGGGGTTCTTGAGAAAGTGTACATGGAAAGTAAGTGCTTTGCAGCCTTGTTGTAGTGCCTTTATTCTCACTCTTGATTGATAGTTGGGTATAGAGTTTTAGTTTGCCCTCAGAATTTGAAAACATCTCTGTGACTTTTGCTTTATTATTTCTTTGGGGGAAATTCAGTACCATTCTTATTCTTGGTCCTTTTACACAGCCTTTATTTTCTCCCAGAAACTTTGAGGATCATCTTTGTGGCATCATTGTTCTGAAATTTCTCCGTGATGTGTGGTGTTCAGTACCTAGTGAGCCCTTCACTCTGAAAATCTGTTTTCTTTCGTTCTTGGAAATTTGTCTGTTTTTTTTTTTTTGGTACTGGGGATTGAACTCGGGACCTTGCGCTTGTGAGGCAGGTGGTGTGACCACTGAGCTAAATCCCTGGCCCAATTTGTCTATTTTTAAAAAAAGATTTCTTCTATCTTTTTATTCTGAAATGATTGTTAGTTATATTAGTTATCGTTTGGATTTCCCAGATCAGGCTTCTATACAGTTTAAATTTTTTTCCTTGTGCTTTATCTTTTGTTTCTTTTTTTGTTTTGTGGAGGTCAGGATCAAACCCAGAGCCTTGTGCATGTCAGGCAAGTGCTCTACCACTGAGCTGCTTCTCCCTTCCTATTCATTTCTTTTAAAAATACTTTCATATGTGTCTTATAGACTGGTAGTAATAGATGAAAAGGTCATGATATAAAAAATTTTAAAGTAAGACTAGAACATATGAATATTATATGGTCTTGGTCATGCATAAAATGGAACTATGAGTAAAAAATAGCATAATGTTAACAGTGGTTATAATTACTGCATCAATATATCAGTGTATAATGGATGACTATTATCTTTATATTTTTCAAAGTATATTCTCATAACAAAGCAGGAGCTAAAAAGTACAAAGCCACTTTGATGGATCTTGTACTAATATACAATGCATGACAAAAATATCAAAACATTACTATTAGTAATTGAATCAGAGGTACAGTATTTTGGAAACAAAATCTCTACTCAATATTTACAAATATTTAAAAATGAATGTGAATAAAGAAATGATATTTATTTTTGTATTTTAAAAATTTGAGTTGTGACATACAGGTTTTTTAAGTTTCCTAAGACAGTAACAATATCACTTCATATGGTAGAAGAGATTTGCTGGTCTTCTTTGAAGTGATTAAAAAAACACTTTCGTTTGAGTTGAGTTCCTTTATTCTTCCATCTCATATAAGCACACAAATACATACTCTTAAAATCACAAATATATTAAGAATATGGTTTTCATTGTTTACTTTTTCCATTGTTTATTTTTAATGTAAGCTAATATCTGTGCCATGGAAATAGTCATGGTTTAGTGAAAAGAGATCTTTGAGACACTGGTGAAGAGGATAGAAAGTAAAAAATGATTTTTTCTTTTTGGGATCTCAATCAGAGATTCCATTTCTTTGAAAATTATGGGATGGTAATACTAAAGAGCAAATTCTTAAAAATAAGCTACTCTTCAATGATAAGAGTAGAAACAATATAGCACAAAAAGGGGAAATGAAGAAAGGTGTGACTGTTAATTCAGACTGAATTTCCACTCCTGGCTTAATGATTCCAAGTTGCATAAGACATGGGATAACATATAACCCAGATATCTGTAGAGATTTGTGGACAGAGAGGCATGGAAGTTGAGAAGCGGGAGTTGGTACTTTCAGTGTAGACTCAGGGGTCGTCCCAGATAGGATGTCCAATTTGATTATAGAGTTTCAAAGGGATAAGAGGGGGAAGACAACCAGGACAAGTGCTGTGAGGGGCTCTTACCGTCAGTCCAGGAGCGGGAAGTATTTCTGTGCAGCTGGGACCCGAGTACTTGTAGATGAATAGTGTGGAACAGCTGGAGGCAGGACTGGGGCAACAGCTAAGGAGGTGGGGTGGGTATGGCCAGGCAGAGGGGACTGTTCAGCAGGAGACAGTTTCACCATGAGTAGACTGTGTCTGAGGACAGCTGTGGCTCTTGAGTGGCCTGAGATGACAGAAAGACAGCTGAGCAATTGGAAGAGCTTTGAAGGGTCTGGCTGTCACTTCGGACCTTCAGCAGCTCAGTGGCTGCACAGAAGTGCAAGAGATTGATCCATAAGCCTGGTGTGCGCTTGGCTGCGGGTGCTGGGGGTGGTGGTGGGGCTTGTTCGCTCATGGAGAGCTCGTTGTGTGCCAGTCACTCCTAACTCACTTCTCCCAGCAATGACGTGTAGGTATGGTTGTTATACCTATTTTCCAGGTGAGGAAACTAAGGCTCGGTGCAGGTGAAAGACATCATTCTCATCCTCCACCTGTCCTGTCAGTTCTCCTTCACCAGCCTCTCCGCCATCTGCCCTCTCTTCCCAGCCCACGTCTTAAGAGTGAGAAATGAGAAGAACCAGTTTTGAATGTGATGGCCAAGGAATCATGATAGTGCTCCACCCTGAATTATGTTCACTCAAAAAGTCAGATTCTTCTCAGTGGTTCCGCTGCCTGCATCGCAAGCGCAAGGTCCCGAGTACAATCCCCAGTACCAAAAAAAAAAAGAAAAAAAAGTCAGATTCTTACCTGCGATCCAAGAACTGCGTATCCATTGTTAGTGTCTCTCTGTTCCTGGGCTGTTTTCAGCAGCAAATTCATGAGCCAAGTGAAGTGACAAGAGCAAGTGCCTGCATCTAGGCCAGCCTACTTCTGGCATTTCAGAAGCAGCCTTTAGAAAAATTAATAAATTTAGCAGTATTCAAAGCATTAAATTTAATTTCCCCTCTGCCTACTGCATTTGGGACTAGGAAAAGTACTATAATATCATTGTAATTAAGTCAGGTCCAGAATGAAGTTAAGTATGCATTTTCAATAGGAAAGCAGAAATAGCAAGTTTATTGAATGACTTCTATTCTCCCAAAATAGCCCTTCTCTCTATAATTTAGGTCAAATTATGTCCTGCGATGATAAAATGCCTTTTGTTCCTAACTGCTGTTTTGTCTTTCTGTCTTTATACACTTAGGAACTTGACAAAGAGCTCCCAGTGCTTAAACCCTATTTTATTGATGACCCTGGAGAAGCCGGAGTGCGGGAGGCAGGCTTACGGGTCACCTGGCTGGGCCACGCGACGCTGCTGATCGAAATGGATGAGCTCATCTTCCTCACAGATCCCATCTTCAGCTCTCGCGCCTCTCCATTCCAGTACGTGGGTGCAAAGCGGTTTCGTCCTCCCCCGTGCACGATAGAGGAACTCCCCCCGATAAATGCTGTCCTCATCAGTCACAACCACTACGACCACCTGGACTACAATTCTGTTGTTGCCTTGAACGAGCGATTTGGAAATGAACTGAGGTGGTTCGTGCCTTTGGGTCTCCTTGACTGGATGCAAAAGTGTGGCTGTGAGAATGTCATTGAGCTGGACTGGTGGGAGGAGAATTGTGTCCCCGGCCACGACCAGGTCACCTTCGTCTTTACGCCTTCGCAGCACTGGTGCAAAAGGACTCTCATGGATGACAACAAGGTTCTGTGGGGCAGCTGGTCTGTCTTGGGGCCTTGGAATCGATTTTTTTTTGCAGGAGATACTGGTTATTGCTCTGCGTTTGAAGAGATAGGAAAGAGATTTGGACCTTTTGACCTTGCAGCTATTCCCATTGGAGCTTATGAGCCAAGGTTTGTAAACTTGTAAAAAAAAAGCATTCCTGCCATTTAACTGAACTTTAATGGTTATGATTTTGTGATTCTAGGTAATCTGTGATTTTAATGGTGGATTTTATTATCTATTGATTGGGATTGGTGGGTGAGATTCAATTAGATTTTAAATATTTGAATCATAGTCATATCTGTCAAATAGTTACTCAAAATCAGAAATGGCATTACCAACAAAGAAGGAGCCAGGTGTGAAGAATGACCACACCTGGCCAGATTTCATGTACCGCTCCGTCTGAAGTTAAACGCATCAGCCAGAGATGGAACCCCAACTCTTGCTCTTCCTTTCAAGTAGAGGATTCTTTCTTTAACTACTTTTCACTCTGTGACCGGAGCGTTCCCTGTCCAGTGCCTCTGCTGTGTCTAGCAGAGGGAGAAAGCCAGGAGTCGGCCTGTAGCATTGGTACCCTGGGATGGTCTTTCGTCTGTACGGAGGCGAGTCTGGCCCTGAGCTGCTGCCTCACTGCTACCCTCAGCCCCTGTGGACTCAGCACTTAGGCCTCATTGGTGGCCTAGGAGAGCCAGCCCCTGTCTGTTTTCCTTAGTACTGTCCATTCAGGGAAAAGACAAGTGATTTCAAAGAATCAGATTTCAGTCCATTTAGTTCCCTTTTTTTTTGGCATGGTACTAGGAATTGAACCCAGGACCTTACAGTGAGCTCCATCCCTAGCACTTTTCATTTTTTATTTTGAGACAGAATCTTCTCTGAGTTGTCCAGGCTGGGCTTGAACTTTCTATCTTCCTGCCATAGCCTCCTAGTAGCTAGGATTGTAGGCATGCACCACCACACCTGGCTACACACTTGATTTTTATGTAGGAATACAGAGAAAACAAACACTGGTAATAGCAAACTAAGGGGTAAAGGTTTTTTGTTGTTTTTTTTTTAAATGCTTTATTTTATGCTTCAGTGCTTGCATCAATACATCCAGGTACATTTTGCTGAGGAAGTCCTGCAGGCTGAACAACTCATGTTTCTCTCCTGCGTGGATGCACTGGAGGAATCTGCTCTTCTATTTCCATCAGATTGTTTTATTCTTATTTGTTAACCTTTTCAATTTACTAAAAACATTTCCCCCTATTTTTATTAACACTTCTCCCTTTTGTGTTTTTTCTAGTTTCTTTGTTTTGGGGGGCTAGATATTTTAACTTTTTTTGATTCCTGTCAATATTAATCCTTGAATTTCACTTTTCCTCTTAAATAATTCTTCTAACAAAACCTCTGAGCCACTTGCCTTGCAAGCACAAGGTCCTGAGTTTGATCCCCAGTACGTAAAACAAAACAAAAATATCGCTTATGAAAATAAGTCTTCAAGGTAGCAAGATAGATATTTGCCAGTCTGTGAGGATAAACAAACTGGACACATACTTCCTTCCCCTTCCTGTCTGCATTGCAACCGTTTTGTTTCTAAGGTGGGAGAAGGATGGGTGGATCTTATTTTCTCTAAGTGGAGCAAATGTGGTGGCCTCTGCTGTTACCCATTTCTCTGGTCAGTACCAACACTTTGAGGTGCCAGGGATCCATTCCAGGATACGTGGCGAGCTCCACAGATGCAAGAGGATGACACTAACAGTGGCCTTCAGTCATGCTGAGAAGACAGTGCTTCGGTCTTATTTTGGGTTGTCACCAAGCATTCTAGCCAAGTCAGTTGGGACTTCACATTTTTATTTTAATTGTTACATTAGAGTAAAAATTTTAAGGTTATTTCAGGTAGACATGAGGATAGAAAGGAATGACTTGCCCTTCAATTTGCAGTAGGAATTAAAAAAAATTAGCAGACGTACCCAAAACTGTTTTGGTCTTGCCCTGCATTCTGAGTGCCAGGTGATACAGCAGAGCAGTGCTTGTGTAAGCCTTGGTTGGGGAGAACACAGTAGCTTTGTTTCCGGGCTCCCAGAGGATCCAGCAGCTGCTCCCTGTGGACACGCCTCTCCCACTGCAGGAGGCTGAGCTGCTCTATGATGCTTTGAGGTTTGAGAACCCAGCCCCTTTAGTCTCACTGTAGTGTTGGTCAGCAGTGGCAGGCCAGGGTCTGAAGAACAGGAAGACAGGGTTGCTTTTCCTCCTCTAGACTGATGGCATAGTGAGCAGAAGATTTGCTTACAGATAGTACACCTTTTCCTCTGTATCTGAGATAATGATTCTTTTTTTGTAGTGTTGGTTTTGTAGTGTTGGTGTTTTTTTTGTAGTGTTGGTTTTTCTGGGAGAAGTCTGTGAAGTAGGTGCCATACTCAGTGCATTCATAAACTCTGTCCCGTGTAATCCTCACAAAACCCTTACAAGGTGGGTCTGAGTTTGTACTTTGCAGACAAGGAAGTGGAAGCCCAGGAGTGGGAGGAGGCTCTCCACAGGCTTCCCAGGGGCCTCCTAGTGGCTCTCACCCCCTGCCTTGTGGCCAAGAGGTTATCTCTTCCTGAGGCATTGGGCAGCCTCCCCGTACTCTGCAGTATCTCTCAGTATCTCTGTCGTTCCCCCGGATCACCACAGGGACAGAGAACAGATAAACTCTTGGGCCCTTAACCTGTTATAAAAGCATGATTTGTGTTTTCTTTTGAGATAGACAGGGACTTAAAAGTGGTTTTTGCCAAAACTATGACTCTTCATTTGGACCCGCAGAAACCTGTTATTTTGTACAACTCTGGGTCAGAGTCGCAGCTCTGCCCAGAAGCATTTAGGAAATGTCTTTCTAAAATTTGGCAAAACAAGGTTTATTAGCCTAAATTTACATAGGCTGTGTCATCACTCTTCAAGACAGATGACTCCAGGAGATTTGCATGACAGTCAGCTCTGTCTGGAAATCCCCGCTGCCCTAAACCTGCCGTCGCCTTGGATTCCAGCGGACCCTCACAGGACTGGACTGCCCCAGCAGGGATAGTTATCTCTCCTGACTGAATTGCCCCTCTCTCAGGTCATGAAGATTCCTCCAGAGCTGCAGAGCCAGGACTGAGATAACAGCCCCCTTGGCACCCCATGGAGCTGGTCCCCTTGCTTCATTAATGGGCCAGACTGCCGCACCTCTTTAGACCTGCCCCACCCCATCTGTGTTTGACTGGTGGCGGAATTCGGGCCTCACCACCCTCAGACTGAAGCCCCTTTTCCCTGTTCTCTTACCTTCTTTTGTTAGGGGGGCAGCTTGATCTTTATCAGAACTGTGTCATCCCTTCATTATCTTTTCACTTTCCCGGTAAAGCTTTTCCCTTTAAATTCAGGCTGAAAGCTTCAGCTTTAATTTCCATTATCATTGAAGCAAGGACCTAGGGTAGCAGGTGATACCATCATTCCGCTGTTCTTGATAAACCAGTTGTCTTTTGAATCAATTCATGGAAGAATAAATAGTTTCTTTTTTTTTGCTCCAGGTCTTTAAACTTTTATACATTTATTTTTGTTTGCTTTTTGCCTTAGCAAGTTTTTAAGAAATAGTTTTTGCAGAACATCTAGTTTTTTTTGGAATTCTGATTTTTGTAGTTCTGATTTCCAGTTCTTACCCAGTATTCAGTTTCTTTGGTTCATCCTCAGGATTGCAAAATATCTGCTTTTAAATATACAGTAAGTCATATATCTTCAGATAAGAAGTCTTATCACTAAAAGCAAAATATACCTGAAACAAGATTTTACTTTTCAGAATTTTGTGTGAAACTTATTTTGTAGCAATTTATGTAAGAAAGATTTTTACTTTTTTTTTCCAGGATAAAAGTGAACTAAAAGGGGATGGTTTTGTCTACTGTGACTTACTTCTCTTCACAATCTTTCTGTTTATTTTATTTTTTACAATCTAGTCTTGTCCTGACTCCTGACTTGGTTTCTGACTCATTCTCCGCAGTGTTGCTTATGTTCTATTTTCAGTAGTTTCACCTGGGAAGCTTTTACCCTATCCCAGCCGGGTAAAATTAAATTAGTCACTGAGGGTGCAGGCTGGACTGTGAGATCTATTACAGATTCTCTAGATGAGCCAGAAGCTAGCTGAAGGGTGGTTCGAATCACTAGGAGTGCATGTTGCCATTGGCCAGCAGCAGCCTGGTGCTCTGGTGTACTGGCTCAAAATCAAAGGAATAAGAAGGGGGAGTGAAAACAAGCACACTGAGCTGCTAATTTCTCAAACATCCTTAGTCCTGTGCAGAATCTCAAAGGTTGATTATGGGAAGTGGCAGTTACAATTTGGAGTGTGTTCAAAGGCCAAAATTAATAAATTGCTGTTTCATCAGGTGGTTTATGAAATACCAGCATGTAGACCCAGAAGAAGCCGTAAGGATTCACATTGACGTTCAAGCAAAGAAATCTGTGGCCATTCACTGGGGAACTTTTGCCTTAGCATATGAGGTGAGATCTGTTCTGCTAAGAGCTTCGGCAGTGTGTTTGACCGGTGGTGGCATCCAGGCATCTCTGTCCATCTCCTAGATGGGTTCTCAGAGGCCAGACTTGACTCAGACCCTGCGGGTGGTCACGTGAAGTATGGGGGTAAAACAGTACTTAGGTGCAGTGAAAAGACCCCTTTAGCCTGCTGCTTCTTGGGCTTATTTCTGTAGTTAATGCAGCATGTGTTTATGTAACCAGAAATCTTTTTGTGTAGCTTTGGGAGTTGAAAAGGGAGCCACCGTGCTGTCCCCTTCGAGGTGGTTTGCCTGCTAGCGAGAGCTGGAGACATGAATGCGATTCAGATGTTGGAAGGGGAAGTGCTGTCGTGTGAGGCAAATTCACTGATGGGAGGGTTTGGGAAAGCTTCTTGGGAAGAGTTTTGAACTTGGCTGTGAGGAAGCAAGGAGGAAGCATTTCCAGAGGAGGAAAGTGCAGGGCTCAGGCTGTGAGACAGGGCCGCTGAGGATCTGCTCAACGGGTGAGGGGTGCAGGGAGGGCACGGAGAAGCAGGCTTCAGACAGTGGGTAGCTTTCTAGAAATGTTACTGTCTGCTGAACCTTGATTCTGGGTCTGCTGTTTACCAGGTATTGGGATAAATGTAGTTTTGTTCCTAGACTAAAACAGAAGAGCTGATTTTTCCTTAAGGGAACTGGACCCTACAGCTCTATTAGTCTGGGTTCTAGGGTCAGAGACAGAATAACTTAAAACTTTGGGAAGGTTGGAACTTGGCTTCTGTACTTTGCTTTCTATGGCCCCTGCCACATCCCAGGGCCTCTCTGCAGGAACCCAGTGTTTTCTTGCTGTGTTTAGCCCTACCTCTCTGTCCCATTTCTGGCCTGCCCTCTTCCCCAATATGCAGCTTGTTCCAAATTGCTCAATACATTGCCTGCCCAGTTTTCTACCCTCTCATCAAAATTCCCAGCCCTCAATAACTCTTAGCCACTGTCAAGGGATGGAGTGGAATGAATAAATGGGTAACTATGGGGCATAGGGAGAATGAGAGTACTAAGTGTGTGTGTGTGTGCGCGTGCGCGTGTGTGCGCGTGCCCGTGTGTGCATGTGTACTTGGGAAGGAAGAAGTTTGAGACTGCTTTCCAGTGGTACACTGTTATATTTTGTGACAGTTCCTCCTTCCTTTCCTCCCTCCTTCAGTCACTTCCTTCTTACACCCTTCCTCTCTCTCTCCCTTTCTTACTGTACTGGGGATTGAACCCAGGACCTTCACACTGAGTGTACCTGCAGCTCCTTTTTTATTTTGAGAAAGAGTCTTGCTAAGTCACTAGATCGCCCAAGCTGGGCTTTAAGCTTGTGATCCCCCTGCCTCACCCTCCCAGAGTGCTGGGAGTATAGGCGTGTGCCACAGTGTCCAGCATTGGTGGTGATTTCTTATTCCGTGTGTGTGTGTGAATGTGCCATACAGATTCCATATATAATACAGTGGCACCTCGGGTCAAATTCAGTGCTTAGGCTCAGTGTTGACCTTATGGGGAAATTGGGTTTGGTTTGGAACTAATTCGTTTTGCAACCAGAATTGTGGAAAGAATTAAGTTTGTCTCAGTGGCACCACACCTGCCTTGCAAGCTCAAGGTCCTGAGTTGGATCCCTGGTACAAAAAAAAAAAAAGAAAGAAAGAAAAAAGAATTAAGTTTGTAAACTGAGGCACCACTGTATTTATCAGTGACATAGATGAAATCATAGTATTTTATTGAACCCAAACAAAGAGGAATGGAGGTTTTGAGCTGGAGTGATTGGGTGATGGTGTGCTGTGTACTGAGATGGAAGATGAGGCAATCCAAAGCTCAGTCTCCAAGAATTACTGCGGTACTCATCCTTCAGTAATTATTCCTGTTATAACCCTAACCTCCACTTTTACTTCTCAATAAGATAGGTAATAATAAACGCCCATTTGACAGTTGTTCACATTTTGATGTTAGTTGAATAAACTAGAAAACTATGGGTTTGTTAAATTGCAAAGTAGATAGGATTTTCAGAGATGTTTAGCCTGCGATTTCTAAATAAACCTGTTTGCATATAAGCAGTTATAACAGCTGCACACTGTAATATAAGCAGAATAATGAAGTCTATAACTTGGCAATATTCTGAAATTGTATATAAATAGCAACATCTAATCTAGTGGATTTTCCAGATGATTTATTTAAGCCCTAAGACTTAAATCACTAGTTTTGATGGAAGTGAATTTTAGATATCATGTAATATATAAGCTAACTTGCTAGGGTCTTTATTTTGAACAGATTCTGTTGTAGAGGTTGTGAAACGGATCTACCTAAGAGCTTAGTGACTGACTAGGGCTGGTGCCCAGCCCTTGCCAAAGCCAGAGTGTTGGAAGTCCCCTGCTCTCGCCCTCTTACCCACTGGCTTGCCTTATGCATGCATTGTTTGGTCCCATGGCTGGGGGATGTTTTTATTTCTCTTGCAGACTAAAGTGCTTCGGGTATGAGATAGTATCAGTCACCCAGAAGCCTTTGCTACCTGATTTCAAGGTTATTTCCTAGATGGTTGAAATAGCCAAGAATTAACTTTTGAAGGAACTCAGAAAGATACTGCTAAATCTGGGCAGTTGTGCTCCTGGCCCAAACACAGCAAAATCCACACTAAATCTGCACAACATCATGCTCCACACTAAAGTTAGAACTTAGCAAAGAAATTGTCAGTGGGGCGACTGGGTATGGATATGGCCGGCAAGACTCAACAGAGCACAGAGTTGAATACAGTTATTTTTCAATGAGAAAAAATTTCATCAATTTGAAATGTTTTTTAAAAAAATAACTTTGCAAGGAAAATTTGACTTAGGCTCTGATAAAGTTAAGTTCTTCTGGTAATACATTAATGATCTACTTTCTATGTGTATAAAATGGACTAAGTGTGCATTTCTATTGTGAGCCATCCGTTAATAAGTGGTTATCTGTAATAGCACAGGGGAAATAAAGCATAGTTAAAACCCAAGTCACACAGTAGTTATTCGGTTGAAAGGCATCCTTTAAACATAGCCATAAAAGTGGAAGTGAGAAAGTTATTGCCTGTGACCAGTAACTATTACCAGATCTGTGCATGCTAAACCTCAAGAAATGTTTCCTGGCTTTCATTGTATGTCACTAGCTGTCCCTCCTTAGTCTTGGTTGCTGGCCCCTCATCTCCTTCCCTCTGAGCATTGAGTGCTGTAGCTGTCAGTCTGTAGACCTCTTTCTCTGCTGGTTCCTCCCTTGGGGAATATCTAAATGCCAGCTGTCTGCTGCACCTCTCTCTCTCTTAGTCTGCACATTTATACACCCAGCTGTCACTTGACATCTCCACTTGCATATCCTTTAGGTATCTGGAACTTAAGTCTACCTCCCTTTTTTTTTTTTTGTTACCAGGGATCGAACTCAGGACTTTGCGCTTGCAAGGCAGGCATGATGCCATTGAGTTAAATCCCCAGCCCTGGAACTTAAGTCTAAAACCAAATTTCTCATCTCCCCTCAAAGGAGTTTCTCTTACTCTCTGTAAATGGCAACTGGTACTTTCCAGTTACTCAGGCTGAAACCTTGGCTCCATTTCTCATGCCCTTCATCCAGTTCCCCCCTCCATTCCACCTGCACACAATCAGGTCAACCTTTAGATTAGACTCAGAATTACACCACTTCCTACCTCCTTCACTCTACTACTCTTGTACAACTGGTGTCAGATCAGGACATTTCTCTGCCATAGGGACCTGGAGTAAAACCCTCAGCTCGCACAGTTGCCTCCAAAGCCCTGTACAGCTTGTGCCACCAGGTCTTGGTTCAAATGTCACCTTGACTGTGGCAGAGGAACATCATGAAAATGAAGCCTCAGTTCCCAGGCGCCTCCCCCCGCCCTTCCTCCCTAGAGCACATTAACCTCCACAGGTCTCTGTGCTAGAATGGAAGCTCTGGGAAGACAGGCATTTTAGTTTAGTTTCTGCCTGGCATGCTGCGGACATATGCAGAGGATGCTTGTTGCATGAAGGGAGAGGCAGATTTCCCACTGGGGATTATATCACAGAAAGGATTTTTTTTTCACTTATAAATTTTATAGCTTTTTAAATTGAAGTTAGAAAAAAACCTTTGAAGAAACAAAATAGCTATTATACAATGTAAAAATTTAGACCCAAAGAAAAATAACTAATGAAACAAGTTGCAGTATCTTCACACATTTTAATTTCTTTATAAATTGCTATTTAATTCCATATTTAAGTAGCTTCAATTTATCTGGAAATTTCCAGTGGGTGGAACCATTCTGGAACACTCCATGTGCTGCCTTCCCATTTTACTGAGCTATGAAAAGCTGAGGACATAAAGCACTCCTCCTGCAGTGTCTGTCTGTGGGGGCCTTTTTCATTTTGCAGACTGCAGCCTCTGCGTGGGGCTGGAGGTACTAAGAATAACATCCCTTCTGCCAAAAATATTTATTCTAACATTGGCCTATACCCACCCACATACAATCTAAATTTCTGTTTGCTTAAAAAATGTTGGTGACATTAATCTCTATAATCATTTTTGGCATGGATTCCATTTAGATTGAAATTTCATATAGTGAAGGTGATCAGATTTCGTGTACTCGAATGATGTTCAGTCTCAGGCGGCACTGCATTTGCTGTGCAGGAGACACCTAACAGCAGACACATCTGTTGACTTCATAGTTAATGCCAAGCTGTTTTAGAAAATGATTGACTCATTTGCTAAAGCCGCAGTTAAAAAAAAAGGGTATTGTTTTAATGTGGCCACCTGCTGGTTATTTTAGTTTGAACTTGTTTTTTTAAAAAAGTAATTTTATTGGTACGTTTTAGGTATACACTATAATGACAGTCATCATTGTAAATTTGCACCTTTACATAATCTCTCTTGGTTCTTATTTTTTTTCCCCCTTCCCCTGCCCTCCCTTCAACCCCTCCATCCCTCCCTATTTACAAAGACTTTGTTTCCATGTTTTCATTTTCTCATATTAATTCCATTCCCTTTCCTTTCCCCTACCCCTCCCACTTCCCCTTTTCTTCCTGTTTCACATTATCTATAGCACCTTTTAGTCCTTATTTACACTTTGTTTCTCACACTAGAGAAACTATTTGGTATTTACACATGTGTGTCCTATTTATTTCACTTAAGAGTATTGCCTCAATGTGCATCCATTTAGCTATAAATGTCTCTAACTTCTCATTTTTTATGACTGAGTAGTACTCCATTTTATAAAAACAACCACATTTTCTTTATCCAGTCTCCAGTTGATGGGCAATTGGGCTATTTGTTTTAGCTATTCCAAACTGTGCTGCTATGAACATGGGTGCACATATATCACTGTGGTATGATTCTTTTAATTCTTTGGGGAAGATACCTAGCAGAGGAAAAGCTGGGTCAAATGGGACTGCCAGTCCTAGTTCTTTGAGATATCTTCATACTGATTTCCACAGTGGTTTAGTTTGAACTTGTATTTAAAATATCCCCCATAATGTATATTTAAATTTTCCCCCTTTTTTTTCTGCATTTTTCCAGCATTACTTAGAGCCTCCAGTGAAACTGAGTGAAGCTTTGGAAAGATATGGACTTAAGACTGAAGATTTTTTTGTCTTGAAGCATGGAGAATCAAGATACTTAAATACTGATAATTAAAACTGAATAAAGATGAGCACAGAAGCTTTTAATGAAAAAGGCATCATTTGATATAAATTGGGAAACATGAAAAGACTAAGAAATTCCTGAGTGTTAAAGACTTTTTCATTAGCAAACAGCTCCTGCAAGTGTGTTTTATGTTTTATGTAATAACTTGCTTACCAGTATGATGACCAGCTTATGAAAACTATGAAGGTAGTTCAGGGGTGGGTCATTTAAATAATGAGTTGGCCAATGTGGATATAGAAATATATCAGTGGTATAAGCATTTCAGTAGAAAGTTTTTAACTAAAGTACTATACTTTAGTGGTTGTAGAATTTTCTGAGGTTATGAAAAACTGCTATTAAAGACCCATCTGTTTTTCTCTTTAGGGCCTTCAGGGTAAGTCAAGGCTGTCTCCTCACATCTTTTCAGAGGCCTACACACACATCTAATATTCACATTGTAGTAAGTGATACAGCTGGCTCCCACATGCTTATAAACATAGCATTTCTTGCTCTGTCATGATTAGCTTACATGCCAAATGTTAGGTGATGTACTTGGGTAAGCATAAAAACATAGGTGTTTGGGCTAAATTACCATTTTTAAAGACTTAAGTACTTTTTGTGATAAAATATACCTAACATAAACTTTATTTTAACCATGTAAAAAATGTAGTTTTTTGGCATTAAGTATATTCACATTCTTGTGCACCTATGACTACCATGACTTAAAAGTTTTAAAAGAGGGGAACTGTATATTGCACATTTATGATCCCCAAATTAAAAGTGCACTGATCTGGGCAGAGGAGGGGAAAGGGTATGGTGATGAGAACATGATTTATGAAATTTTCTATTTTTAATATAAAACAACTGCTAAGCACAAATATAGCTGTAATTAAGTATTTCAGAGAAGATAAGTGTAGATTTTACATGTGACTATACACTTTGACTTACTTTCTTCATTTTCCATTTCCTTTATATACACATTTTTCTGGTTTGCTAGCACTAATCCCCATTTGTTTTATAAATATTTTGTTTTATATGATTAAGATGTCATATATTTTTGTATCAAATGACCTCTAAGTATGATAGTACCTTTGTGGAATACAAGTGATTGTTAAAATAAGATACTGGGTGTCAGCTGAGTTGAGTTTTAGGGGTAATAAGGCTCTGTATTCACTTGATTGCTCTAAACCAGCTGTGCATGGTGGCACATGCCTGTAATCCCAGAACTCTGGAAGGCTGAGGCAGGAGGATCACCAGGGAGGTGTGTTAGATGCTATTAGAGGGCCATTCCATGCTCCGGTTCCATAGGCTTAGTGAAGTACTTTATTCACACAAAATAACACGTTTTCTAAACCCAATGTTACCTAGGCATTGCTCTGTAATTGGATTTGTACGGGTCCATGCATGACACATTAACCACTGAATCTGAATTTTAATTTTCATCGTTTCATCTTGAATTTTCTTTGTAACCTGAAAAGTCACTATGCTTGCTCACTGTGCCTCTTCCTCATGTGCAACAAGAGGGTAATTTTGACCTACCTCCAAAATGTGTAAAATTAATAAAGAGATTTTTAAAAAGCACTTTAGAGATCTAAAGGAGAACATGCTTTCTTAAGATATCACTGCCTTGTGTATGTAGGTACACTTGAAAGCTGAAAATAGGCTTATGCTTTTGATAATATTGTGATCCTGCTGCAGCAGATTTAAGCATATATGTTAGGACACTAAACACTGAAGACTAACAACTTCTTCCTACTCATTTTATAAATTTGAAGACGTGGTCTTTATTGAAATTGAGTATTTTTATTGAAAAATTTCAAATCAGCGAAAGGGAAATGTGTATGGAATATGTGTGTTTATAATGTATGTGAGTATATATGACTTGGGGGAGCTGAAGCACAAAAGAAATCCCCATAAGATAAACTTCAGGAGAAAACTGAACAAGCATCAATCAGCTTTTTCACTTTGAGCAGACATGAGCTAAGATGTGTGGGTCACCTCTGGGGCCAGCATTCTTGCAGTCATATCCTTGTTGCTGCACATCGAGCTGAAAGTTCATCTCTTACCTCTGAAGCAAGCCAAGTATATCTTGCTTGATGCTTATTTTCCATGAATGGCCTTAGCATTATTTCCCTATATATATATATATGTACTCTAACTGAGCTTCTCTACACACTTTAAAATGTGTTCTACTTCCATTTAATTGGGTTGGGCCTGCCTTGTTTTTCTAGGTGTTCTAATTTTTATTGCCATTTGTACTCCTCCATTGGTATTTTATCTATAAAAATATCAGTATCATGTCTTATCAAAACCACCCCATTGAGAGGTTTCCACTTTTCCACTTATCTACATTTTGAAGGGTTTATGTGCAAAGCGAAGACAAATTTTGAAAAGACAATCTTCAGTTCAGTCTAACATACATCGTAACACCTTTTAATGTATTTTATCATCAAAGTCAATTTCACATTCATCTTTGATTAGTGAATATCCTGAGCAACACTGATACACCTTACCACCTAAGAGGTGGTTCTAAAACGAGCAGAAATCCCACTTAATAAAAATGAAGATGTGTCTTGACCTACAGAAGATCTATTTGTGTATTTCAATGCATTCTCCCTAGATAAAAAATTACCCTTTACTCTAGTATGACATCTTAGAATCAATGCTGTAATCTCTATGAAGTATAATTATTCAGATTAAAAACAGGAAAAGAAAGAATTTTAGAACTCAGTGCTGCTCAAGCACATTGAAAACAGATCTTGGTTTTTAATATGTGCACATGTTGAACACATATTTGTATTAAATAGGGAAACAGATTTAAAAAAAAAATCATGATAAAGAAATGTGCCCTTCCAGGATTTAATAGGTACTGATATTGTATCACCAGCATACAGAAGTATTATTCTTAGCCATCACATACCATTCTAGCCCACTGGAAATTTCAATCTTTCATCTTATGTAAACCCTTTTTCTACTGTTAAAATATTTCTTCAAAGTTTTATTTCTGTATCAGGATAACCCCAAGAACACACATTTTTGTTTGAGGATTTGTAACTTCCTTTGGAAATAGTCTTGTATATTTACAAATGAAACTTAAAGTACCCTTAAGGCTTTAAGTACACAAGTAGAAACTTCTGCTTAAATATTTATTTACTCAGTGCTAAGCATGAGGTTTATGAACTTGAATATTATAGAACATGGCTGAATTCAAATATATCAAATTGTTACCATAGCTTATGGGAGAATATACTATTTAAAAAGATATTGGGAAATGTTCATATATTGTAATTTTAGTCAAGTAAAAAATGGATGAAAATAAAGTACTGGGGAAATAAAGGGGAAAATATATATAGCCTTCAAAGTTTTTTCCTTTTTATTAAAAAATTATACAATTTATGCTTTTAGTAAAAAAAACCCTTTCAAACAGGAGAAATGATTATTCATAGACAAATTATGTTCCCCACTCCTGAGTCCCAGTCCCCCTCCCAGGAGTTATTCTAGGAATCTTCCTTCCATAGATAAGCATAAATATTACTTAAAACACACACATAGGATCATGCTATGCACATTTCCCTTATAACGTGCTTTTCCACATTAGCACATTCAGACTCCATCCTTTTTAGACTGGCTAGTTGATTTAACCAATTGCCTATGGATGGCCATTTTGATTGACCTCAAATTTTTTTCGGTACTAGAGTTCGAACTCAGGACCTTGCACTTGCGAGGCAGGAGGCAGAACCACTGAGCTAAATCCCCGGCCCTGACCTCAATATTTTATAGGTAACATATGTAAATACTAGCACACTAGGAGTAGGTGAGTATTAAGAAACATTTTCCCCCAAAAGTTTAATTTTTTATTGACTGGAAATGGTGAGAATTGATTCTGATGATTACAACAGACTTCTGAAAGCATTATGGCTGGTTTAGCAGGTGGACATAACTCCAGATCTCACCAATGCTAAAGGACAAGGCTGTCCTTGTGGCAGTTCTCAGATGAGCGAATCCCATACTAACGCTGTTGCAGATGAGTCGCTGCAAGTCATTTCCAAGAAAAGGGGTCCTCTATATAGAAAGGTCATTGCCATTTCACTGAAGGCAGTATGTGTCTCAGCAAATAGCAAAATAACTGGTTTTAGTCCAAACTTGTATTTTTTTAGTGTCAATAAAATGGTCCAAAATGAACCAGAAGACCTAGCACGTTACATACATTGAGTATCCTTTATTTGAAATGGTGGGGCCAGAAGTGTTTCACACTTCAGTTTTTTGGACTTTGGAATACTTGCATAGACTTTACTCAATTCAAAAACCCCAAATCTGAAATGCTTCACATTCTAAATCAGCATCATGTCATATTTAGGATGCCCAACAACCTGTACTGTGTTAAAGATAAAATGTGAAGTTCAAAATCAGCAGCTGAGAGAGAATCCCTTTATAAAAAGGCGGAGAGTAAGTTTCTGTGTGTTACCTAGCAGACTGCATTTCTCTGGAAAATAGGACAGCCAATCAGAAGTTTGGTATTATTGTTGCAACCTTTTCTCTCACGTCCATATCATCATGACAAACTAACGCTCTCATTTTCTGGACACATTCTTCTCCATACAATAAGGAAAACAATGAACCTTCAGGGAAAGGAGGCTGGACAGCTGCATGGCCTCCCACTCTGAGGCAGTTATTTATATTCTGAAATAGTGTAAGAACTCGAAGAAGAATCTCCTGTGGCACATGGCCATCAAAAAGGGAAAGGAATGATGAGTCCACCTAAAAAAGGAAACAGTATCATTTTTACATAAAACATTGATTATTTTACATTTTAAAAATCCTGCCGCAGAAAATTAACTCTGCATAACTTAGATATATAAAATCTTATGCACTCTTACATTGTATATTAATGGGAACAAAGAGGTTTTGCATTTTAGCTAAGAAAGATTTCCCTGGATTTCCAGAATGAAGTCATTTGGAAAAACATCCTTTCTGTTTTTAGGATCCACCATAGTTTCCCTGAGAGCTCACTGATTCCTCCAGTGTTTCCTGCGTACAGAAGGCAGGGGACAGGGCTGAGCAGATGGACATGATGGTCCTTTTCTGCAGGAGGTGGGCCCCATTCCACCTCAGCACCACGACTTCCTCGAGAACATGAACAGCAGCTTCTAACTGTCATTCATTTGTTACACAGCTTTGCCTCTACTAGACTGGAGGCCCCAGGAGGTAAAGTATTGTGTGTCTCGGGACTCAGCTTGGCCTCTGCCACATACTGGGGACTTGGTTCTGCTGTTTCTGTAAGTGTGCCTGTTACAGAACATTAGGGAATTCATATGTGCAAAGCATAATAAACCAACACCTTAAGAGTACTCTTCAGAGATAATCCCTGGGAACATTTTGGGTAAATGTTTCCAGATCTATCTGTCCAAATTTACAGATGTGTGTATTTACAAAGTAAGTATGCAATCTATTTACCTGGACACTGAGAAGTCCTTCTGTCATGGCTGGATTTTCAGATAAATTCACAAGCAGCTTCAAAACTTGAACCTGAAATAAGAATAGTGGTTTATTTCAGACCAGCAGGCATGAATTTTCTTTTCCTTGAGTGCCTCTTACCACGTTCCCCTTGTAAAGTCCTGCGTGTGTTTTGCAGTGGGCTGAGTCCACTCTACTGAGTCTCTCTCTCTGTAAACTCTTAAAGCTCTTGGGCCCACTCTCAGAGCAGTTATTACAGAACAGTGCTACTCAAACCTCTTTCAATTCCACCGTTACGGACAGAGCAGCAGTACAGTGAATGTTCACAATCCCTGCTCACACACACACCTGACGCGGTAAGCTTCATGTGTGTTGAGTGATCTTTATTATAACTACTGGTAAGTGAAATATGTTCCTTGCAGCAAAAAAACCTCTCAACATTTAGTTCATTGCTACTAAAGATATGGAAATTTAGAAACACACTGGCTACCAAGGCTAAATAATGCAGCCATTTTCTTCTTACTAGGTTACAATTAATCTCTGAGGTTATCTTTTCCATGTGACAAATGTTTAGTCATTTAAATAGGCACAGTGATATAAATAATTAGTAAACAAACAATAGCTAACTAAAATTTCAGCATTCTTATCATTTCTGAAAAATCAATAATAAAAATATTAAAATAGGATTTCCTCTTAGAAACATGTGAAACCAGTTTCTACAAGATACTTGAGGTAAAAGAAGAAGGTACTGAAGTCAAGACAAAGCAACAAATATTGTTTTCTTCTTAGGAAGAAACCTAGATGTTTACCTAAACTTTTTTTTTTTAAATTCCAAAGGCTATAGATTTTACTAAGAACTTTTTTTTTGGTAGTGCTGGGGATTGAACTAGATCCTCATGCATGTCAGGCAAGTGCTCTACCACTGAGTGTTGTACCTCCAGCCCAAAAGAAAAGCCCAAAGAAAAAGGAAGTTCATTCCTATTCCCAATGACCAGAAATGATCATTATAATGCTTTGGTGTTTTCTTTCTGGTCTTTATGCACATAACAATATTTCATACTGTATGCTTACAATTCCTTTGATCATCTTATAGATATTAATTTTCTTTTTTTTTTGGTACCAGGGATTGAACTCGGGTCCTTGTGATTGCACAGCAGGCAGCGAAACCACTGAGTTAAATCCCGGGCCGCATAGATATTAATTTTATTTTAATCAATTTTTAAATTTTTCATAAAAACATATGGTCATGATAAAAATTTCAAACACTGTAGAAGGGAACAAGGTAAAGACAAAAGCTACTGTTCTAGACTAGAGTCCATCCCTCTCCCTAGTGGTAACCACTGGCAAACTGTTGAAGCAGAGATCGTGTTTTTCAAACAAATGCTCTTAATAATTTAGGCTTCTTAATGTAGAAAAGTAAAAGAGACACCTGACCCTTCTTGAGTGCTCTCCCTAGGAACGCTGTCAAAGAGTGCATCTGGCCTGCCTGGCTATCAACACCAGCAAGGATAAGTGTTAGGAAAACAACACTGGCTCCAATGGCAGTGACATCTGCACTGAAAAAACAGGAACAAGAGTTATAAAATAGATGGTCCTGAATTTATGAAATAAGCCTGGATGAATTCTATAAAATCCAAAAGGCCCACTAGTAGTCACTGAGCACAGGTATACAACGAGAGATTAGTAGAACAATAACTACTTCATATCCTGCAGTAAAATGTGATGTTAGTATGCTCTGCAGAAAGGAATTAAATGTGAAAAAAAACCAGATGCAATTAGAGGACAACTACAGATTAAACAAAGATATGTACTATATTTTGGCTGGAAACCCTAAGACTATCTTGTCCCTCTTTTCACATATGCCATCATGTGGTGATTCCAGGACATTTTAAGCTGTTGGCTTTATTCACTCATTGTGGATGTATTAAGCACAGGGTTTATTTATATTAACCTTCCACTATCTGTATTTAGTTACGAATCACTGATATACACAGAAGGCATTACAGTATAGTGAGATCATTGCCTTAAGATTTCTTAAAAAGTCACTTTTGTGTTTATTTACTAAGAAAATGTCTAAAATGGATACATATTCCCACTAACCAATGGGTGATTAGCTAAGAGTTTACTTGAAAATTAGAACTTTAAATTCAGTTTTTATGGAGAAACAATGCTATACTTGGTGGCAAGGTTCCCAGGCAGAACTCCTCCCCTCCCCAAAAAACCAAACAAATATTCTATCTCAGAAATATTCTAGGCAATGTGATGGAAAACAAAACAAAATTAGAATATACTATTATGGTTTGAGTCAACTTTTAAAAAGTCACACATTATACCAGAAGGCAGATCATGTCTGAGACAGTTACATACAGGCCCAAGACCAGACTTGCTGGTCTGAACTCAACCGGAGTTCCTCCTGGGGTTCTGGGTAGCACAGCTGCAGAGTCAGGCAGAGGACAACTTTTCCCCTAGGAACCACACTGTGGGGTAAGGAGGGAAGGAGTTTCCATTGGCCTTGGGCTGGAAGTCATCTTGCTGACTGGAAAGAGACGTTGATAGGCACGGGCATGTTGGAATTCTGTGGGGATGGGGCAATATTGCTAAAAGAGGCCTTACTCTTTCATTTACTTTTGAATGACTCTGAGTACATCTTGGACCAGATCTAAGTAAGTTTGACTGCAGGAAATGTGGGAAGCTCATAAACACCTCAAAAACACAGAAGTAGACCTATGGAGAGCCTCTCCCATAATCACATCCTGATAACCTCAGAAATCACAGCAGAGGGGTCAGATATTTGGAGCATGGCTTCACATGTGGTCCTTCTAAAATGCTCAGGCATTTTCCTCTCACTTCATACACTACTACAAAAAGTGGTTTTACACAGAAACACTTAACCTGGAAGATAAAATAGGTAAAATTCATAGGCCTAGTTGATAACCCTAGTTGCAACAGAAAATATTACAGTACCAAGAATCAACAAATGGGATCAAATCAAATTAAAGAGCTTCTACACACACAGCAAAAGAAACCACCAAAAGAATGAAAAGACAGCCTACAGAATGGGGAAAAAATTTTGCCAGCTATTCATCAAACAGAGGACTAATATCTAGAATATATAAAAAGCTCAAAAAGAAATTAACCCCCCCCCAAAAAAGGCTCAATCAAATGGCAAGTGAAATGAATACAACCCTCAAAGTACAAAAGGCCAATAAATATATGAAGAAATGTTCAACATTGCTGGCCATTAGAGAAGTGCAAATTAAAACAACACTGAGATTCTATTTTACTCCACAAAGAATGGTCATTTGATAAAAAAAAAATCAAATAATAACAAATGCTGATGAGGCTGCATGGAAAAAGGAATGCTTCTATATTGTTGGTGGGAATATAAACTAGTACAACCACTATGGAACTCTGTATGGAGATTTCTCAAAACACTAAAACTAGAAATTCTATTTGACTCAGGTATTCCCCCTTTTAGGTGATCTTTCCAAAAGAGTTAAAGACATCGTAATACAGGGATACACCCATGTTTATAGCAGAATTCATCATAGGTAAGTCTTGGAAGCCACCTATAGGTCCATCAACAGATGAATGGATAAAGAAAATGTGGTATTTACACACTATGGAGTACTGCTCTGTCATAAAGATAATCTTGAGTCATTTGTAGGAAAATAGATGCATATTTAACACAATTTCAAGTGAAATAAATCAGACACACAAGCTTAAATATCGCATGGTTTGTCCTAATGAGAGACTCAAATCATAAATAGAGAGCAAAATAAAAGACAGACAATAGGAGTAGGGAGATAGATCTTTCTCAGATGGGAAGGGAATCAGGACATGGATGGAGGGGAGGGAGAGGGGATGGAAAAGGGAATTAGATGTGTGTATGTACTAACATCACACAAGGAATGTAAACATCATGTACTGAAAACGTAATTTAAAAAAGTGGTTTTACATAGGTTTTTAAGAAATAAGGGTTGAATCAAAAAATTGTTGCTGAATTTAACTAAGCACTATTATTACTCACAGACTTCTCTTAATCACAACATTCCTATTTCTGGTGGTGGGAAGTTAGCTATTTTGCTTCGTTTAAGAGTCTCAGAAAAAAAAAAGTCTCAGAAAACCAAATGGACATCAATAAGTGAAATAGCAGATGATGCTTACAAGTTTTCATATTAAGGGGTAACCTTTTTTTAGGCCCTGTGAAGATTTTTAATAAACTATAAGTAGAGGAACATCCACTTAAGATGGGTGGCCTAGAGATTCAGTTTTGATCTTAACAAGCTTGAGGGAATAGCTCTTCGTCCTTCAAGGAATAACTGCATCCCCTCGTACCTTGGTGGTCCCACTTCCAGTTAGTAACACATGGAACAGGTCTGCAAGGAAACTGTTCAGCATGTGCTGGTGCTCATTGGTAACCGTCATGTTTGTTAGCAGTCTCAGCCCGGCCAGCTGCACAGCAGAGTCCAGGGGACCGGACAGGACATCCTCGCAGACTTGACCGATGTATACCTGCAGGCAGAGGGGAAACCATGAGCCTCTCAGAATCTTCAAGTGACTTCCACTGGACAGTCACTGCTCTGCATGGTGGAGCAGGGCGACTGCTCAGAACAGAACTGGCTCCTTGGAAAAGATGACTTCTTTATTTAGCCCTCAAACTGCAGACACATTTTCAAAGCTGCCTTTGTTAATGCTGGCACTGTGTCGAGTATTTTACAAACATATCTCGCTTAATCCTGAGGACCACTCTAATGGCAGGTGTCAGAGTGGGCATCTCACAGCCAGGACTGTGAAGGCTTCCAGGAGCTCAGGTTGCCTGTGGAAAGTCCGAGCCCAGAAATCCTGCTCTCCACACGGGGGGCCTTGGGCTTGCCAGGGCCTCCCGATTTAGCCACCTTTCTGTTTCTACTGGTGTGGGACACCAGCGGCAGGAGGATGTGCAAGGACATTTTGTATCACGGTATATACCTTGGTGGGAGGGTCTAGAGAGCTGTGTCACATCAAAGGTAAGGAATGAGGGGAGGGAACAAAATGAAATAGCATTTTTCTTTAGAGTTAATTCTGTCCAAAGTAAGCAAAGGGCTGGGGATTTAGCTCAGTGGTTCTGCTGCCTGCCTCACAGGCGCAAGGTCCTGAGTTTGATACCCAGTACCAAAACCCCCCCCCCCCAAAACAAAAAACTAAGCAAAGCAAAATTATATTTGGCCCAACTTTCTTTCTTCTTTAGCTAGGGATGGCTGTATGCATATATTCGTGGAGATATTTATCACCTAACCAAATTTAAACTGCACCAAAAGTTAAGGAAATTGTCCTAACTTGGAGTTCTAAGAAGTGACCAACATTTTTTTTGGTTTTTGGGTTTGGTACTGGGGATCAAACTCAGGACCTTGCACTTTCGAGGAAGGTGGCAGCCCCAGTGAGCTAAATCCTCGGTCCAAAACATTAACTTTTTAAAAGTGCCAAAGGTATCCATGTTTCCACAGACACTAGTGTAATGGCAATAAAGCAGAGATTGAAGTTTTATTAGTTTTAAGCTCTAAATTATAAGTCAAATGGCTCATTGGTGACACATATCCTCTAAAAAACTGGTTATTTCTTTAGTTCTTTATATGTCATTTTTTTTTTTTGGTACTGGGGATTGAATTTAGGACCTTGAGCTTACGAGGCAGGTGCGGTGTCACTGAGCTAAATTGCTGGCCCCAGTGGCACGTTTTTAAAGGTACTAATATCTTTCAAAGGATTTGTTAAAATGTGTTCAACATTTATTTTTATTTATTTATTTTTCTGGTACTGGGGATTGAACTCTGGACCTTGTGCTTTCCAGGCAGGTGGCGGAATCACTGAGCTAAATCCCTGGCCCAGTGTTGAACATTTATATCCTTACTATATCTGAGTCTTTCTCCCATTTAAATTCTAGTAACAGCATTTCCAAATGGGCCAGTTCTGTTGTTCCCACCTCCTCGTCTTCCTTTTTCTTGGAGTTTTCTCCTTGCTCAACTCTACCTGTACAGACCTTAGACATTCTTTTTTTGTTGTTTTTTTGGTACCAGTGATCGAACTCAGGTCCTTGTGCTTGCGAGGCAGGTGGGGGAACCACTGAGCTAAATCCCTAGCTCAACCATAGGCATTCTTTTTTTTTTTTGTACTGGCGATCAAACTTGGGTCCTTGAGCTTGCTAGGCAGGCGGCGAAACCACTGAGCTAAATCCCTGGCCCCAACCTTAGACATTCTTAAAAGCCAGGTCAGATGCCATCTCTTACAGAAACTTTGGGATGGAATCTCTCTTCTCTGTACTGCAGTTTTTTACCTTTCTTTAAAGCACTTTGTCATGTTCTGCTTTGAATTAAAACTGTTTATGGACTTGTTTTATCCCTCCTTAGCTTGCTTAAAGCAAGAGGAGTATCTCACTCATGTCTATATTCTGTTCCTCAGAGCAGAAGCTCATTAGATATTGAGTTGAATTCATAACACTTCTTAATTCATTGAGTGTTTCTGCTGATGTTCTTTGATTCTAGCCTGGTTCTTTTACTGCCCTTGGATTAAATAAGCCCCAACTACAAAAGTCCCTTGTACTCTACTGCCTGTTCACTAGTTTAGGTTCCTCTCTCCTCTGCCTCATTCTCTGTTTAAAGTCAATTCGTGGCCATGGAGTTATAGAGGACAGCCTACTAAAGTTCCATCACTTACCTTTTAATTATTTTCTCTTTCATGGATAGAAAACCTTTTACATTTTTGATTTCACAAAACTTACCTTTATCTTCATTTGATTTTCAACATTCACACTCAGGTTATTTAGTGCATTTAAAGCTTTCTCTTTAATACTCTGGTTTGGACTGTTGATTTTATTTCCAACAATTGGAATACCACCCAATTCACGAATAATTGCCTAGGATTGAAAAAACAAAAACAAAACTATAACTTGAATATGCCTCCCCTCTCTTGAATTCAGAATCTATCAATACAATGAAAAATTAATCACTTTTAAGAAATACTTTTCCCACATATAAATCTTCCCATTGGAAAAAATAATCTTAAAACCTGACACAGATTTTTTTCTTCCTATTCCTGCACTCCAGGACCACTCATTTTTCCTATTTAGGCCACCTTTTTGTTGCTGGCACGACCACTTGCTGTAAGCAACCCCATCTCCCCCATTTACTTCAGTAAATGTAGCTGCTTTTTCTTTTACCATCTGTTGTATACCTGCAATTCTTTGCTCACTGTATACAAAGAATCTGGAATTTCTTTCTTGAGAATTTATCACTCACTGTTTCAGTGGGTCTTTTTTATTTCTTCTTTGGTTTCAGTTTTCTGGGACATGGTCTAACTACATAGCTCAGGCTGGTCCTGAACTCACGATGTAACCCCGGCTGGCCTCAAACTTGCAGTGATTTTCCTACCTCAGCCTCCCAAGTGCTGGGAATACACGTATGTACCACCACACCCAGCCTGATTCCTAAGCCTTAAGAAAGAAAGAAACAGAGAAAGTCTGGGCTTGTGTTTTTCTTCTGTAAAATGGGGACTTTTCATCTGTGAATCCTTTTACCTGTAAAATGGGCTTTTCAACCGTGAATGGAACATCACCCTTCGGCATATAGATAAACCCAGCTCCAGACATAATGAGCATCACCCCAACACTCACACTCCCTTCTGAATGTGCACTTTTTTATACTAGATAAATCTTTTGTGTGTCTTCTAAAAAGAAATCTTGGAAGTATTTTAAAATTAATTTTATTTTTTAAACTGATACATAAAAACAAAATTACTGTATACATATTAATAAAGTACTTTGTGATTTCTGATACATATATACATTATATAATTAGGTTAAATATATCTGTTTCCTCATTTATCACTTCTATTATGGCGAAAACATTCAAAATCCTTTTTTCTTGTTTTTTGAGAAGTGTACTATATAATCACGATCTATAGTGACCCCACTGTCTACTCATAACTTTGTAGATAAAGAAAATCAATTGCAAATAAAATTAAGATATGTGAGTAACTGAACTATATAGCATGGAATTATACAGGAAAGATTTACAGAGCTACTGTAATGATCTTGACACAATTTACAAACAAAACAGTTTATTTCAAAATGAGCCATATTCTCTATTACAGGAAAACTTAGAAAAGTGTTATGATTTAGAACACAGTAGTAAAAGTGTCTGTTAAAATATATTCTTTGGAACACTAATCCAAGATGGTAACAGATGTCCTATTAAAAAAAATGCAGAGGTTCACATGGTTATGTAACTTTGGGAAACTCTAGTTATAAGAACAAATATGTACTTTAAAAAATTTTTTGTTTTTTTTGAGTCAAAGTCTCACTGTGTAGTTCAGGCTAGCCTTGAACTCATGGCAATCCTCCTGCCTCAGCCTCCCGAGTGACATGACTGCATGACAGTACTTACTTGGTTGGTTGAAAAGGCTGCACTGTTACCCAGAGTGACCAAGGCTCTTTCAGTAATTATAGGATCCTCAGTTGATTCAAGCAGGTAGAGGAGTTTCTGAAGTTGTTGAGAATTTAGAATATCATCGTATGAACCATTGGTTAAATCTTCTGGATAAGAAGAAAGTTATTTAAAATTAATCTAAAATCCATGAGCTGTTTTTAAAAATCAAAAAACAGTATCAAACATACTCTGATGCTAGGTACAATTTTAAACACTTTATAGGTTTTGTCTCATTTAAGCCTCAAGTAACTCAAGAAGATACTATTATTATTCTCAATTTATAGATGGGAAACTGAGGGTCCTGGACATCCAGAAATTAGCCAACAGTTCCTTGGTATATGTCTACTGGTAAGGTACTACATGCAAATAATATGGACCCCCTAATGCTAGTAGCATTTTTTTTTTTTTAAAACCAGGCACATCTACCCAATGGAATACTTGTCTATAGAGCATAGGTTAATTATGGAATGGAATTTGAATTAAGTAGAACTTTTCTGATCACAATTTTGGTAAATTACTTAATCCTCTGATGGATTTGATTTAATATTTTATCTTCATAACTGAGACAGATTTATACTTTCTCACACTATCCTTGACAGGTTTTGGTATCAGGTTGTTGAGTGATTTGGGATGGTTTCCATCTTTTTCAATGCTTTCACAGAGTCTTAATAGTACAGGACTTACAAAATTCTTAACAGGAATAAGCATTTCTTTAAGACAAGGAAAAGATCATCTTTAAACTTAAGGGTGATAACAAAATGAGTGTTTCTCAAGTCTTCAAAGATAGAGGTGTAGCTTCAGGAAGAAGGGGCCGTGAGGAACATATTTTTAAAGCTGTTTGACCTAAAATAATAATGAGCATGGGAACTGGAAATTTAAAAGCAAGACGTTGTCACTATTACTTATACAGAAATATCTCTGACACAGAGAAAGACAAATTAGGCTTTACATGTAAGGGTAAATATACATTTTAACAAAACCGAACCCTTCATTCCCTTTCTGAGAGCATTTCATGAGCAAATGTGTATTTATAAATCTTTTCTTTCCCTTTGATATAAACGCAAGTTTTTAAAAAGTAAAAGCCAGTTTTATAACCCAAGAATTTTTTCTTAAGGCTTAGAAGCCTTTGAAATGTAAACATTACAGAAGATAGAGCCCCAATCTCAGTTCTGTGGAAGCCCAACCGAGGCACCTGCTTCCATATAACTACCTTGCTTATCATAAAGATGTCTTATTTTGCTTTTGGATAAAGGCAATTAGCCAACAGAAACAACTGCTCCAATTACTAGGGAATTTAGAGTGAACTATGCATAGCCAAATGTTGTTCAGTCCTCTTACAGTTAGCATCGTTTATCATGAGTTCCATCTGTCCGGCTACACAAAGGTGAGAAGTCTGGTTTTGGAACAGCATTAAGCAGACTGCCTGTGATGTCTGTTTTTTTACATTTGTGGAAAACAGTTTCTTGGCTGGCAGATTTTATTTTTGATAGTCCCCCCCCCCCCCTCCCAGTTTCCATGACCGGAACTACAATCTGGCACAGTGTGCAGACCAGTAGCATTCCGACTGCACCCATTAACTGTCGGACACAAGCCTACTCCTTATCCTGGCCTGGAAGCCGTGCCTCGCGCAGCTCTTCCCGCTCCCGGTACACACGGATACCTGGGGCCGCTCGGCCCTCCCCTCCCGGAGGCCGGCCCAGAGCGGCAGCCGCCCGCATCCTGCACCGGGCCTGGGCCTCGCACCCAAGGCCCAAGCGAGCGAGAGGCCATCAGCCACCAGCTCTGGCCTCCGCCGATGCAGATCGCGGGCCAGAAGGTCTGGGCATTTTCATCCCCGGATCTGGATCGAGGTGGAAGCAGTAAGGGGCGCAGGCCCTCGCCCACACCCACCCGGCGGCCCCCGCCCCTGCCCCGGGCCGCCCGGTCCCTGCGCACCTGCGGACCGCGAGGAGCGCAGCCCGTGCCCGCCGCGCCGCCGGCCGCGCGCCAGGCGATACAGGCAGAAGCCCGCGCCCGCGCCCAGGAGCAGGCCTGCCGCCACCCAACCTGCGGCCCGCGCGCCGCCCATGCTGCGCCGCACAACGGCGCGACGAGGAACCAGTCTGAACGCCGCCTCCCGGAAGCGCCCCGCTAAACACTACAGCCCCCTTCAACTAGCTTCTTCCCGGGCTCCGTACGTCACCGCGAGCCCGGCCCTCGGCCCCGCCCCTCCCCTCCCCTCCCCCCCGCGGAGCCCGAGCCAGGTTCTGGGTTCTGTCCTGTGGTTGCCAGGCAACGCCTCCCAGCGCCAGGCGTACGCGGCCGCCTCGCTAGCGCCGCGAGCCCTGAGAGAAGCCTCTTAGTCGGCCTCTAGCCATGGCCTCGCTGCGCACCGCCGACCCCGCGCTGAGGAACTACTTCAAGCAGAACTGCATTCCTCAGGTCTTCGAGGTACTGGAGCCAAGTGGTTGCGGACCCGCGTCGAGCGGAGCGTGAGGTTGAAGGGAGAAGGGGCTTGGCCCAGAGGAGCCCTAGGAGTGACCTGGTCCTAGCAGGGGAGGGGCAGCTCCCAGGGAGCGCCAGGCTTGGCACGAACACCCTAAATGCCAGCTTCTAAGGTTTAGACTAGAAGAACCTGAGGACAGAAGAAAGAGTGTGGACATAGGGAACGTCTTAAAGAAAGAGTGAGCAGTGATCACCTAAGAAAGAGCCTTCGGGGTCCTGGATCCCGCCCAGGGCACCGGGGCAAGCCTGTGGGAAGACCCCTCACTGTCCCATTGCCATTTCGCAGCAGGGACTGCCCCTCCCCGCCCTATTTGAGTGGGAGGGAAAGAGGCAAGGATGGGGCTGAGTAGTAGGTTCTGTGGCTTGGGGCAGGAGGCTGAGAAAGTTCTCCGGTGATTTCCGGTTTTTTTACACATAGTTGGCGAGATGTTCGCCAAGATGGTGTATATTTGGGTGGGCTAGGGGGTGCAGTAGGTCTGAGCAAAGGTAAGTTATATGAGAATGGGGAAGAGAGAGAGATAGGTAGGGAGGGACATGATCCTCCGACCTCTGGCTGCTCTCCTCCACCCACTCCTGGCACTCCCAGCCGCCCGGGTTGGTGTTCCCAGCCATCTGAGCCCACATAAAAACGCCAACACAGCTAGGACATGGCATCCCTCTCTGCCTGTTAGGTCACAAGGCACCCACAACAGAACTTGTTGTTACTTTGGGCACATACTCGGCCATTCTCACTCCCCAGTCTCATGCAGCCCTTCACTCCACCTAGGGCTGTCCCACTATCCACGCCCCCCCCCCCCCCCCCGCCATCCATAGAAGACCCAGCTCAATACACTGGACTTGGACTCTCCTTTGGAGTTATTCCAGGAAGTCCTGCCTGGAGCCCCAAATTGGGCTGGCGCTGTGTTTACAGGGTTGTCACTGTTTATCTAACATCTGGTGCTGAAAACCTGAGAGGTGGCTATCTAGAGCCTCCTGCTCTGGCATTTGGCTTCCTCACCTCAACCTACTAGGCGACCAGAACCACTGACCTCATTGCCTCCAGCCCACCAGAGACCTCTTTGAAACATCTCCTCCACCCAAATTCCGCCCCTCCTGGGCTAAGTCCTCCTGGAGCAGTTGAAGGTGTCCCTCCGGTCAATTGTCCATGTCCTAATTAGGCACAACCTCTGGCTTTGGCCCAGATACAACAGGCCTGCCTGGACATGGGTCGCTCTGTCTTTCATTCTAGCTTTTGGACTTTGTTTGGGGGTACTCCTTTCAATCCCAGTTGCCCTTCTTGCTGGACACTCTTGGCCCTGCTGACCCACCAATGGAGGAACTGCCCCTGCCCCTCCTAAAACACTCCTCTGGGGTGCCTCTTCCGCAACCTGTCTCCTCCTAACTCAACCTAAAATGTTTCATCTTTTTCTGCAACATGGCCAGGCCATTATAAACTAAACAGTGGCTCTCTTTGGCCAGAACATGGTTCGTTTAATTGTTAGATTCTCTCTGACCTTGCCCACTTTCTCCAGAGTTCAAACAAATGGGAAGAGGTCCCCCTTTATTGCCCTCTGCTCTTGTCCCTCGCTGTAGTCTTTCTGCTCTACCTCATCTCAGATAATGCCCCCCCATGTCAGCCTTTGGTCCCAGACTCTTCCTCATGCAAAAACTTCCTCCTCTGTGCCCTTCCCTCTCTCCCTCTCTCCACTGCCTGTTACCTGGTCTTTCTCCTGACAGACAGCCCCTGCTAAGTCTGCTGAATCCCTGACCCCAAACCCTTCTACCTTTTGTGAAAGTTTGCCAGCACTAACCCCCTGCCCGCATCCAGATCCTATTCTTCCTTTCCAATCTCTCTCAATTAAAAGCTTGCCTCAGTTCCTTCTCATCAATCCCCTCACAGCACATTAAAAAATTCACTCCTCTTACTCCTCTGACCTCACCTAGTGCAATAGTCATATAATTCTTCCCAGCATTCTCCTCCCCAGTGAAGGACAAGAAGTTTGGATGATGGCTGCTGATACAGCCGGTGCAGCCTACACCCAAAATAATCACAGAGGCCCCGATACAGTTGCTTTTCCTAGATAGGCCCCTAGATGGAACCACAAGCCTGTCACAGAGATTGGAAAGAACGCCAAGATTTTATCCAACACATTCTCACTGGTCTACACAGGGTTGCCATTAAATCCACCAACTTTGACAAACTCTGAAAAATCTATCAAGTCCCCCAGGAAGGCCCAGCCCAGTTTGTGGCCCAGCACACAAAGACACTAAAAGCCCACACCTGGTTAGATCCCTCCTCAGCCAAGGGACAACTTTTTCTCAAGACTTCTTTCTTTTCCCAGGCAGCCCCTGACATAAGGACAAAGCTTAAAAAATTCAAGGATCCCTAAGGCGAATCTCATGCCTTCTGGGTCTACCAAAACCAAAAACTTGTCAAAGAGGTCTCCAAAAAGCTTCCAATAAATCTACCCTCTAGTTTCTCACAACAACCCTCCAGCCAGGCCAGTTACCTAAACAAGTTTGAACCCTCTTGGGCCATGCTTTTGATGCAGCAAAATGGAGCACTGGCAAAGCAATGTCCAAATCCTGGCCCACACAAAATCCTATCTAATGCAGCTTAAAGGGGCACTAGAAAAGGCACTGTCCGACTTCAAAATGAGGGTGGAGCCATCCACTCCAGCGCCCTGCCCTACCACCTTAAGAGGACCTGTTCTAGCTGAAGACTTGATGGGGCCTGTGGCTCTTACGCCCTCAGCCTATCACCACACAAGAGCCCAGGGTACCTCTTCTGGTTGAGGGTAAGTCTATCTCATTTCTCCTCACACAGGGGGCCATTTATTCCTCTTTGTGGACATTCTTGGGACCAACAGTTAAATCTTATAATATTGGCAATAGGAGTTGATAGCCACCCTTTTCATTCCTACACGAGAGCACCCTTAAATTGCTCTGTCATTCACTTCTGGTGGTTCCGCAATGTCCCATTCTCTTCCTGGGACAAGCCCTCCTTTTCAAGCTCTGGGCAATGGTCATCATCCAAAATTCTCCTTCCCTTTCTACACACTCTACTCTTCTTCCTCCGATCCCTCACCTCCACCCTGATTTCCAAGACCTTTTCACTTCCACTTACACCGACCCTGTCTTGGGGTGTGCTAGTCAGCTCACCAGGATAATCCTCCAAGGATTTGGGGACAGTCCCCACTTATTTGGCCAGGCTCTCAGCCACAATCTCGACTGGACTCTACCTCTCACCAGTAAAGATATCCAATATATTGATGTTATCTTGATCTTCAGCCCCTCTTCCCAAGACTCAGATACTTCTTTCCTTCTCTCTTTTCTCTCCTACAGATATCCCACCTCAGCTTCCAAGATACAATTTATCTAGTCTGCTATTCAATACCTGAGGCTACACTTTACCCTTACCTTTCAGGCCATGATGACCAATCACAAAGCTCTCATTCAATCAATTCCCTGCCTTACAAACAAAAACTGTTTTCATTCCTCAGCCTAACTGGCTTTCTCTGCCTCTGGGTTCCCAACTTTGATCTCCTAGCAAGACCCCTTTATAATGCCTCCCCCAAATCCGTACTCACATTCCCCCCACCCCTGGCTCAGGATATTGTTTACAACTACCTTCAAACTTCCATCACTATGATCTCAACCACTTTCCCAATATGCATAAAAACCCTATCCCTCAGGCAGCCAGTATGTGGTTCATAGATAAACTCTTTCCAAACCTCCAGTAGGTGCCTGGTGCTCTGACTCTGGACACATAATCCAGACCCAATCACTCCTCCAGAAAACCACTTCACTCTTAACAGACAAAAACTCATAGCTCTAACCCAAATACTTTTCCTAACTTCCTCCTGGCTTTCTCACTACACAAAAATCCCCCATCACCAACAGAGGCTACATAAAAACTCTCACAGAGACATTACACTGTCACTGAATGGTGGGTGTCCTCTACTGCCCACTTGAGACTCTCTCATCCCCCAGCCTTCACACTCACTCTTGCCCTCCCCCATCAACTCTGGCCAACAGATCCTCCTCAGAACCCTTAAAGAGGCCACTCTAACCAACATGGGAGAGACCCTACAAGGTCCTCCTTACCACCCCTGTTTCCACTGCCTTTCCCAACCTGCCCTTCTTACTGCTACCCTAAAACCCAAGAATGTCAGGCTATTCTGTGCCTTCTCCCTGCAGGTTTCTCCCACAAAGCCACTTGTCATTCTCATGACTCTTCTCTTCATATGAGAATTAAAATCCTTTCCCCCAACCTCAACTTTGCTCCCCAAAATAATCACAGACCTCTGGCTCCAAGACACCTTAAATGAGTTCACTCCAACCTACATCAGCTTCTTCACCTTCTCCTTCCCCTTTCTTTTAACCCAGCCAGTGATTTTCTTGGGCTGTTCAGTTAATTCCCCTTCTGACAGGAATCAAAATAGCCACCACTGTTGGCACCAGGCCAGCCAAAGTAAAAGTCTCCATTCACCATTTCTCAGCTCTCTCCAAACAGCCTCCAAAACCAAAAGGGCCTTCAGGTATCCTCCATAACCAAATAGGTGCCCAATGGCTGCCCATGCTGACAGCTGCACTTTCCAACAGAGAACAAGTAAAATTCACTGCTTTGGTCCACAAAATCAAAATTACCTGCTACTGTCCAGAACTCGACCCCCACCTTGACCATCCTGCCGTCCACTTTGCCCCTCCCTTTCACCATTTCTCTACCCTCTCTCTGTCAAACTCATTCACCTGCAAAATTAAATCCACTTGCTGCTGTTGTGCTCCAAAACTGCCAAGGCCTAAACTTGCTCACCACAGGAAAGGTGGGTGTTTCTTCACCAATAAATCAGGACTTGTATAAGTTGGCTTCAAAAGGCTGTGTGATCAAGCCACTGGCCTACAAAATCAGGCCTTGCCCCAGACCCTTCCTGTCTGGCTGACTACTTCTTGGATCCTGGCTCATA